GGAAAAATGACATTTTTTGCTGAGATGATTCTTTTTCAACTACTGTATATACAGTTTAAATATGAGTAGTAAAAACAACGTGAACATCTACAGGAAAATAGGTTGAATGACTGTTGAAACCTCTTTGAATTACAGATGAAACAAAAGACCAGTGTAGCCTAAAATTCTGAACCCAGTCCATCTTCATATGACATAGAAGATTAAGCCTTGATCCACATTCTTCTTAGTTTAGGTTCAGCTTCACAGATAGATTTCCAAATGCACAGTACTGTGTCCTTCCAGAAAATACATTAGTAGTTGTATTGGAAAAACAGAAAGTATAATTTTAGCAAATAGGATGCCCAATACATGCTGTGCTTGGAAGTACTCTAACAGGGACCAGGCTTTCAATTTTCAGGCAGAAAGAAGTGTCTTTCGTACACATGTAATCCATATGCCAATTTCATAGATGAGTTTTAGTCATAAGTACTTCAAGTGCCAAGGGCAAAAAGAGGTCTTTGTTAGAAGAGTTTTCCCGTGCTCTTCATTCTTGTGAAAATACTGCACTTTTCTTAATATTCAAATAAAATGTCTGACCAAAACTTTTGAATTTCAGAAGTTAAGAATTTAATTCTATATTCAGCATCTAAATAAGCACCTTGATTTTTCCTTCTGAGTTCATAACCCCAATGAAGTTGATGCAATGTTGCAATTGTTTTAATTCATTAACAAACATTTTTGTTTTACTTAGGAGCCTAAATTCAGGAGAAAGATAAGATCGATGTATCTGTTTTTGATGGTGTAGACAAACATTTTCTCTGATTCCTCCCACACCTAAACAAAAAGGTTACCATAGCCATTGAATCCAGATAAATTATGCACTCCTTGGATGTGTACCCTTATCAAAGTACTAGAGCTTGATTTCTGTTTCTCACTTGGGTGCTACATTTTGTGATCTTCATCAGATCATTAAGATGTTAAACAAAACTTAACTCTGCGCTTCAATACCTGCACTAGGGAGCACTGTGTTCCTGAGGTCATCAGTGAAGACAAATACAGGCACGACTTATCTCCCTGGACTCTTGCAGTGATGCTCAAAAAAGTTGATACTTCATTTGAATATTGAAAGACAGGTGGAAAGAAGCCAGGCCTCAGTGAAGACATCCACTTCCTCAGATATTGCACTTCCTTACCTGTAGAAGCCTTTCTTGATCGTCTCTGCCCCTCTTTCCAAGCTACAGAGAGTGACTTTGCTGTTCTAGCAGTACCAGGGCTCTGGGAGTCCATGTACAAAACTGGAAATTCAGGATTTGTACATGTTTGAAAACACTTGTGGTCCTGGACTTTTCTTTAATCATGCAATACAGTTCCAGTGGTTCCGGTATTGCATTTTGAGTCCTACTATACTGAGAAAGCTGTCAATTCCTGCTGAATTTAAATGGCACGTGAATACTTTACAGCCTACAAGTGATAGCACATACAAGATTTGGACTATTACTGCTGGTGATGTGAAGCATTACCAGAAGCTTGCATTTCTTAAGTCACTAATAGTTTTCCTACTGTATCTGTTGGAAATACACATTAAAAGCTTAAAATTGACAGAAAACCCTTGTTAACTGGATCCATTCTACGCTTACTACAAGTCATCATCTCGTTTATTCTAACTGCCTATAGACACACTGAAGTGTTTATTTTCCAGTGTTGTGATCAGATCCTGCTGGCTTTGTCAGGATTCAGAAAATGCCAGAAAGGCCCTTTATCATGTTACTTACCAGGGCTGAACCAGGGATGTTGAGGTGGCAGGGAGTGAGACGTGGTAGAAATGTCAGCACTGGTGATGTTGGCAGTGGGTGGGCCTTCAAAGAAGAGTTCTCCTGACGTGGCTCACCTCCTTGGCAATCCAAACAATTTGCCAGTGTCACCCCTGCCGTGGCTAAATGATTTCAGTGAAAATTTATGGGGATAGGAATGGGTCCCCTGCTGTAATTACACAAACTCTCTCAACAGCGCAACCCTCCGCAAAGTCACAGCTGTAAATAATACGCCACAGAAACAGCATCTTAATGTTCATATATTAAAATCATCTATTATCTGCTTTAAACTGTAGATCTGCTTCCTTGAGAGTTGTTGCGCGTTTATGTCGCTAATGCCAAGGTATCCAAGTGAATTGTTGGTGTTTTTTTTGTTTTGTTTTGTTTTGTTTTTTTCAGAAGTGCTTTTTAGGGCCCGGGTCACTGCTTTGAGGAACAGAAGGCCTGGGTCTGGTGGCAGGCGATGGGATAGTCTGAGTGGCTGGGTAGTCCTCAAATAGTGGGGGGTGCTGCACTTGTCCCTAGACTCACAGTGCAGCAGGATCAAGGAAGGAAGGAACGATGATGAGGAAGGCTGCTGTTCTTCTCTCATGCGCCTCCCCAAAGCTGTCATTCCTCACGGGACAGAAGTGACTGTAGGGGAATATCACAATGAGGCAGAAAACCTGGGCCTTGCGAGCAGGCAGTGGCCAGGCCAGCTCATGCTGGACACAGACCCTTCAGATCCTTGCTGCCATCCCCTCAGGACCCACCAGTCCATTACATAAATCCAAATAGCTGCTGGGGACTGAGCTGAAGTGATTGAGCTGGAATGTGAGAAACGCTAAAAAAAAATCCTCTACTGCAATCTCCTCATGTAAAGAGAGCATCTGCTGGGAACAAGACTCCTGGGTTTGGATGTGTTGGGAGTTGCTTTCCCTAACAGAGCAAATATTTGGTGACAGAACTAGATGTAGAAAGTGCTGCATAGCAGGAAAAGTGTGAAGTATTCATAATGATATGTGATACTGCTCAAAATTCAATGTTTTCCACATTCCATTGCTTAAGCATTGGACTCCTGTCACAGAAATTTCTGCTGCAATAGACACAATTTCTACCATAAATAGGCTTGCTTTCAACAGAAAATGGGACAGTTTTCAAAGAAAAAAGGCCAATTTATGAGTAAAAGAGGGCTTCTTTTGAGCAAGGACTTTATAAACATGGAATGATAAATGGCTTTGCAAGTTTTCCATACTGTAATAATAACTTCCTAATGAAATAATGAAAAAGTTACAGTTAGAGAAAGGGAGAGAAGTTTCATACAGTTTCTAATACACTGAAAACATTTTAGAAAAGAAATATATGAAAACTGTAAATCTTATCCCACTTTATAACCTGAATTTATGTTGGAGACATCACTAATATTTCTTCGTGTATATTTATGCTATGATATAAATCAAAATCTTGTTCTGAGTTTGCCTTCTGAATTTCAAGAAATAATGTAAAGCTTAAGGAAATACTTTTCTTAGGATTCTCAAAGTGACAGTGACAACTGATTAGTAGTCTATATGTTTTTAGGACTTCTGGCTTGACTCATTGATTTTACATGCAAATATATTGCTTCATGACAGGTTGATCTGATGAGCAATTGATTGGGTTGCTTTCGTCTTGGCCTAAAATGCTTCAGGAATTGGAGCCTTCTTTTTCACACGTGCTCCAAGAAGGGTGTTGTATATACCAAGGAAAACACACAGTGTACTATTTAGGGAATGCTGTTGAATCCATTAGCTATAAAGCAGACTACGTAGCCTAGGAGGTTGCTTCACTAAGCTAGAGATGAAAATGGAGCCTGTTTTAAATTGTAGATGGTGAGATGTTCTCTGCTACTGGATAAGCCCTGTTCCAGCCTCTTTGGTTCTGCTTCATCAGGCAGCATATGGATGGCAGACAGAGATCAGTGTTGCTATATGGGATTTCACACGAGTTTCCTCTCTGCATGTTAATTCTCTGGAGTAGTGTTGCCTGAAGGACATGGGATAAGTGATGTTGAAGATGTGCAGCCTTGGTCCTTGGATGCACAGATGGCTGATAGAGCTGCTCTGAGGATAAAAAAGCACTTCAATGAACCACCCTTGCTGGTGCTGTTACGTAGCTTTTCTCCTGAGTTCCAGACTTGTTTTTCTAGAAAGTTTTAAAAATCCATTACACATGATATTCTAACATATAGCTTTAAAGTGGTTGCAGTACCTTTCCATCTGTGTTCTCCATCAGTTGTATAGAACATATGGTCTTCAGGCAGGTGGTTCCATGTGAGAAAGCCATACAAACGGAGAAAATAATTGTTTTAATTAGGTGCCCAGTCTTGTCTCCACTGAAATGTATATCAAAACTCTGTGTTTCATGGGAGAAGATTCTGATGCTGGTATTAAGGTTTGATAGGATGTATTAATATTCATCCATCCAATGAACAAACAGATGTACTTAATGTCTGATGTGAGAAAAGTGAATTACAAATGCTCTAACATTCCCACTCCAGAGCTATGGCTGCAATTTCTTGTTTTTCCCCAAGTCACGGCGGTTTTTCAGAGTAGGTAAAATAAAGATGGCTTTTCCTGTAGACCTGTGTTGTTAGTGCTGTCTTTTTCTACTAGAGGTAGACAGTCTGATAAGTAACAATGGCATAGAAATTGGATACACAGATATAAATCACATTACTTTGTATAATATCGGATAGTTGTTGCCTGTTTTAGAAACTACTTGTTGTTTGTTTGTTTGTTTTTTACCATGAAGCAACTTAGATTACCATTCTAAATGCTAATACACAGAATGAATTAGATTTAATAAAATAAAATGAATGTGTATGTAGATTGTGGCATTAGTATTTCATTATGTACCCATCATAACACTGATGAGACAAGATTTTAAATACCAGTGCATTGAAATGAAAGCTTTCTCTTAAAGAGCAATTATATTTTAATTTTTTCTCTCTTTTCTAACCTTCTTAAATAACAGGTTATATACTGTTTACCAGTATTAACCCGTATTCCTTCATACTGTATTCCAAACAAGGATTCCATTGTCATGGCTGAAGCTCAGAGAAAGCTTTGTTTATGTTTTTGTAAAGCATTAAATGTGTCACCAGATCCATTTCTATACCATGCTCTGACAGACCAAATTAAAATCTTCATGTGAAATAAAAGTAATGTTTTTTTCATTTTTTTTTCTTTCCAGACAATGGAAACGCCGAAGTACGAGCTGGTTATTGAAGCCAAGGATATGGGTGGCCACGATGTGGGACTTACTGGAACTGCAACTGCCACTATTCTTATTGACGACAAAAATGACCACCCACCAGAATTTACCAAGAAGGAGGTAAGAACTTGCCATCTGCGTTCCACAAAATGTTGCATGTAATTTTAATTTAGTCTGCTTTTGAATAGAAAGATGTTCCTTATTGGAAGAGGAAAGTACTTAGACATCTTTTTATCTCAACGTGATAGACTTTCCCAGTGCTGTTCTTTTATCTTAAGTGTATATTCATCATTTCCAAAACAGTGTAACCACAAGGTAAAAAATTACATCAAGGTTTATCATTCTGAGCTTGGCTAGTGCAGTGAAAACTTGTAAAATAAGCTCACTAATGGCAACCTTCTTTTGTTCTTATGGGGGGAAAACAGAGAATTCTGCCTGCTTCTAGCTTAGGTCTTTTGCTAATAGGGAGTGTGGATGAGAGCAATATGTTTTGTCCTGCCTTCTGTACTTCAGCTGCAAAAAATCTAGTGTTGTCAGTTCTGTATTGAAAACTATGGTCCTAAAAGCTTTAAATTCAACATACAGATGAAATTTTTCAATGAAAGTCTTTTTCCTTGCAAGTTGAATCCCACGGAACATCACTGAAAATCTGGGGAGGGGAAGTTTCTTGTTTCAGGCAAAGCATGCACCTACTTTCCTGCCCTTCCCACAACGCTCCTTTCTCTCACCTACTGTATTGGCCTTCTTGCACCTTATTAGCGTGTGGTTCTTACATCTGGCATCTGGAGAAAATTAAAGACCATAAGTTCTACCTAATAACAGCTAGTTTGGATTTTATTATACATGTTTCCTGAAGCTCTGCAGTTTTTAAGGAATATTCCCAAAAGCTGAGCAGTAAGCCCTAGGAATGCTGATTTCCAGGTAATTTGAGAAGAAAAGGGAACTCTATTGTTGTAAAGAAATTATTTTTTTTTTCCTTTATGTGTATTTTTTATATATTCCTTGCCTAATTTTAGCAGTTTGACAACAGATTATTTTGAAATAAATTACTGCAATTTTACTTGAATAATTACTTCTTTCATGAATGCATATTGAATAACATTAAAAAAGAAAGGAGGAAGATTACAAAAACAAGGGAAAAGGAATAAATAAGAAACAATGACAATTTTGCCAATAGGAATATTAATTTTCACTAATCAATTGCAGTAGCCATAATTGCTCACTTTAGCAGTATCATTACATTCTCCTGAAAAGTACAATGCCTGATCCAAACTTTTCAAGCATGCACGTGCTAACTAACTGGCCTTAGAACTGCCCTTTAGATCAGCCTTTCAGTTTTGTGAAAAGTGTTTCCTGTCAACCTGTGGTTGAAATGTATTTAAATATTGTATTGTTTTAACCTTCTTGAACATAATTAAGAAACAAAGGAATTGTTAGGACAATACAGTGTATTTACAACTAGGAACTAATTGCGCTCATCAATAGTGAAAACAATTCATGCCTTCAGAGTACTATTTACTTGAATTTCCTAACTTCCCTTTTAAAAGAAGAAATGTGTATTGATCATATCCTGTTTGCTCAAAGAGTTTCCTCTGGCTACTGTGTAAAAAACTTGGGTGCCTAGTGTGCTTCTATGGAAATTTGGAAGTGTTTATACATTTGTTTCAGGTAATGATAATAAAAGATACTTCTACTCTTAGAAATCTGGCTCTGTCAGTATAGAAATAGAGAAGAAGATGGGAAGAGACAGCATTGTCGCTTTATGTGACACACCAATTTTTCTATAGATATATCTTTTTATATTTACATATACATTGTGACATGGTTTTGAATGTGTAACTACTATTTTGAGATGTCAGTGACCTCAGAAATCTTCCTTATTGTATTCTTATCCCATGTATAAAGGAGAAAAATATCAGTCTTTAGATGTGTGGTATCAGGTCCCTTTACAAACACATACTCTAATTATGTAGTATGAGGAAAGGGAGAGTGTCATTTAGTAAAGGTAACACCACTTGCTTTGGCTTACTGATTTAAATACTTAGCCCTTTTATGTAAATACAAGATGCATCCTACAGTACTATGGATTTGAAGAAGACTTGAAAGAAAAAGGCACATTCTACGTGACAACTTTAGAAAGCATAAATATAGTAAATGTAAAGGTTTGAATTTTGTATGTTTAGAGATGGCTGCTTTAGTATTAGGTTTGTATAGTATTGCTGTACGTTCGTAGCTGTCTTCCTTCTCTTTGAAGATATTTTCTCTCACTGTCTTTTTCCACGTTATAAAACAAAGGAATGTTTACTGGCCTGTATTTTCTCCTGGCAGTATAATTTTTGCCCAAAATATCTACGGCTTTTGTTTGCCATATACTGTTGATAGCTCAGTTAAGCCATCTTTTCAATGCATTCTCTAAATCTGTAACCACAAGGGCCAAATTACTTCCTGGTATGACAAAGGGAAAGGCAATACATTTGTAAGATCTGGATTTTATACTAAATATTTTTTCACCATCCTTTAAACAGAAGTCTGGACATTGTGTTTGTACAATACCAGGTGCTTAGGCTGTGGACAAAATGAAGTTTTATATTATACGTATCTGTAAAAAGATATCTATGATTTTAATAACATTAATGCCAAGAGAAAGTTAATAATTTTTCAAACTTCCCTTAAAGTTGAAAATTTCTCTATATATTTCTATTCCCAGGAAGCCTTACACGTGTTAGGAGATGTTTCTTTGAGTCCTCATTTCAAAGCAATCTCAGCCATGCTTGAACAAGTCTCTCTCCATTGGAGATGAATTTTATCTTTTAACACTTGACTGATCTTCCTCTTCTTTCCTCCAGAACTTTTGACTATATTGAAACTCTTGTGAAACAAGTCTATGAATCTAAACCTAAGCAATACTTTTCTGTGTATTAATACTTAACATTTATTCCTTAGAAGCCAGTTCTTTATACACCTATTCAAAATACATGCTAATAAGTTTATTTGATGTTTTCAGAAAGATCTAAATGTTCTTTTGCTGCTGTATGCAGCTTCTCAGTAGCTTCTGTAATGTTTACTCAGGTTTTGCTGGATGAGAATGTCTTCATCTAGGGAATGTGTTTCTCCATCTGCTATTATTTTTCACCAGCATACCACAGCCATGCCATTCCAGTGCAATTATGGCCTCTGTTCTTTCATTGGCGGTACATCAAGGTATAACCACAGAACTTGAACAATTTGGCTGTGACCCAGCAAAGCACTTCCATTAACTTCAGAAGAGTTGTGTAAGCCCTTGAGATTGTGTATCAGGTACTTTGACAGGTTAATATATTGAATATTGCTTTGTGAGATTCAGCCCAGTTAATTGTTTTGTTACTACCCCATTTCTCTACACATCTCAAAATATCTGCTTTGTTCTGTTTCATATATATGCTTACTTGTTTTTCCTTAGCCAGTGCTTTTAGACACTAGGGAGAAGAATGCAGTGATGTGGGTTAATAGGATGATTCTTCTTTAGTCCACCTAGTTCTCACGTTGTCCTTCACTACAGATGTGGGACAGCCGCACATCCATAGTCATACACAGAGAATTAGTCAGACCTGTCAGAGCTTTCTCACTTGTTAATTAGCAATTGAGATTTAATTTTGGCCACGAGACAGTCTTGCTCTTGAGACAATTCCTCTTTCTGCTACTTCCATCCTCGCTGTCAACTTCATCCTTTTCTAGGAGAAAGCACTGTAAAATAGAAAGAGTTCCTTAATATCAGGAGAATAAAGTTTGGAGAAATATTTTTCCTATTTTAGGGATAGCTGCTTTTTTTCTAACATCGTGTGAAATGATCTTTCCACCTAGATGAATTTTCCAGTTAAATAAAGCAACTTGCCTCCTGTGAACAAGATAAAATTTTGTTTGATTTGACAAAACATCACCACAGTGAAATTTGAGATATACTGGTGCTGTGAGCGTTAAGTGAAAAATAAGATCTGCTCACATTTTGAATACCTACTGACACATGGTTTATAAAAGACTAATACATGACTAATATGTGCTTTAATAAATGATTAATCAGTTCCTATAGAGACCTGAAAGTGAATAGGTTGCTTGTCACCATGATTTATGATGACTTCCAGCTCTGTCTTCTGATTCAGTTGTGCTACCCACTGGGGTAAAACAGCCCTTAGAGTACAATATGCATCTCCGTCTGCTCATGGTTCGAAGAGGATATGAGACTTCCAGAGCACCATCTGGAGAGATTTATTTTTCAATTCAGGCTGTTGAGAAACACACTTGTAGCTTGGAGAGTCCCTGTCTTATTCTGATACTGGCTAGATCACGTTGAAGACCAGTTACTGAGCTAAAAGCGCTACTAAGGTCCCTCCTGGTTTTCTTTTCCATATTTCTTTTACAAAAATTACTTAGACATGATATTATTTTCCATTCTAGACATTCCTTCCCAGCACAGACTAGATCTGCCCATTCAGATTGCAAACTACAACAAATCTCACTTTCCCTTCTTCAGTGATCTGCAACTCAACACTGATTTTACTTTGCCTTTCAGGCAAAATGTTGTCCTTTGAGACTCCTAACTAATCTCATTCCTTTATCTGTGTCTTGGAGACAAGCAAGACCCTACGTTTGGACCTGTTAATGGCAAGTCTACTGAAGTGTATCTTTCCTTTCAGAACCACCCCTACACTAGGCAGATGATTGGTCTGACCTTTTTTTCAGCTTTACCTCTCCATAGTCTTCTTCCTGAAAAAAAACCCGTGTAGTCTGATGTTATTTTCCTTTCCTAGAACTTGAAATAATTACATCTTCTGTTGTCATTGACGTGGAGGACAAAGTGTGACCTTACCTTTTTTTTGTTCTTATGTAATCAGGAGCATGCATGGTGAAGACTCGCAGTTTAAGTTACGTTCTCCATTTCTTAAAGAAATAACCCTTGTGTTAATTCTGTGACATTTATTTGTTTTTCCCCAGAAATATTAACACAGGATATTTGGTGAAAACAGAAGAGACGTAGTCTCATAACTGACTTGCATTCTGTCATGCCTGAGGCAAAGCAAAGATCTAGGTGTGAATGTGTTTCTACTAGAGTTCATTTCCAAAGAATTTACTAGTTTAGAAAGTAT